AATGAAATCAGAGAAGATGAACTGATGTTTGTAGAAGAAACAGTCAAGATTGAGACAATTGATTGATAGTTTGCAAGTGAACTGTTTTGCTGTATGATCATCAAAATTTAATGAGATAGCTTGTAATTTGTGATCGATTACATTCGATTGTCTTCAACCATGTTCTTGTTCACTACATCAGTAGCAAAACAATAATGAGCACTGCTGAGGAGTCCCATAATAGGACGAAACTGCCGTCCAATGTTTCCAGGTTTTCCATAGTGGTCTAATTTCAACTGACTCATGAATTCAACTGTTAAACTTACTATAATATCCACAAAACTCTATCTGATCATAACATAATAATAATTATTATTTTTCAAAGTTAAAATCATGAATCAATTGAAGCTAGACCACCATCGAAAACCTGGAAGCACTGGACGGCCGTTTCGTCCAATTATGGGACTCCTCAGCGGTGCGCATCCACGAACCCGCTCTCGCTAGATTCGAACCCAGGACCTACCAGTCTCGAGCTCAGTGGTCTATCGGTTAAGAGCTTCAGCTCGAGACTGGCAGGTCGTGGTTTCGAATCTCGTGAGATGAAGTCGTGGATGCTGAGGAGTCCCACATTAGGAAGGAAAAGCCGTACAGTGCTTTCAGGTTTTTCTTGATGATCTAGCTTCAATTAAATCATGCTTTCAACTATGAAAATACCAAGTGAATTGTGTATCTGTTTAAGATTTAACTAACATCTTATTAACGTGTTAAGAGAAACAAATTATTAAGACTGGAAATAATTCTTTCAAGGCAGTAATGACAGTGATATTGAGGAATTGAACATATGAAATCGAAAAAAATGAGTTAATAAAAGCAATTAATGAAGTATTGAGTAATACTTGAAATTAAGGTTTAGTGAGTTTAGTTCTCCTCTATAATCCATTTGATATCAAGAATGTCCTGAATATTCACAACGAGAAGTTGCAAATGTTTACTAATTCACTGATACCTCTTTAAACAAATTAGTTGGAATCTGGAATTGACGGAACAGTGAAAACATCTACATTAAGATGGAGATGTATATGGGAAATGATGTGAACAGCGAAACAAGAAGCCTTGAAAAAACTACGGAAGCCATTTTTTAGGACGTTATTTTATTTTATTTAAAGCTTGTAAAACAATAACATTTACTTTCATCCTTAGTCTATTCTACAGATCATAAGCTTTCGGTTGATGTATGATTCACTGCCATAACATTTTCTCTTCCAAATCTATTGTAATTTAGACATCACCTTTTGTACTCCATTTTCTACTCTAATTCCTCTGGTTTTGGACATAATTATATTTTCCTAATAATTGTGCGTTATGATCGGGTTAGTCATCTGTTTATTCATGTATCTTTTTACACTAATCGGAATTCGGAATTCGGGTGCTAGATCGGGATTGGAATAAAACAAGTAGTGTTCCACTTGTCTTGTCTTCTCTCTCGCACGCGTGCATGTCAGCCAATCAGGGATAGAATAGTTTTCGTCTCTCGACCCTCCACTTCGAACTCACTCATACTAACCTCACGGTAAAGCCGGTCAGCTTATCGCGTCATGATCTTAATTTACACTAGACAAGTTATCCTCAGCACGAAAGTGGGTAAACAGATCAAGGAAGTAACAGTAAATGAGTCGTAAAAGTGATGGAACACGTCCTGAAAGTAACTAGCAGTTACATATCAAGTATACTTTTATACGTAATGTATCTAAATTTAAATTCAAATGTTTAATGAACTGGAACTAAGACGTTTTCACGTCTCGGAATGACTTGAACTAATATTCAACAACGTCATTGAATAATGCCATATTTTTTCTAGTCATATTCTGATCTACTCCCATACTAATCATGATGTCATATATATTTTTCATGAACAGAACTATGATATGCTGTCTCAAGGCTACATGTTGCGAGGAAAATCAAAATACATATAATTATGTTGTGAGGGAGAAAGTTATGGATCTCAATAAGATCATGATCAATCCGTCTCTATATGAATCAGTACATATATGTATAATATAGAATACATTTATTTGGTTTTGACAATCATGCTGCCTACGTACTCTTGGATTTCCACTCTTGTTTAAGTGGTTGGGTAAATATTCAGAAGTGTTCGTTGAAACACTTGAGAGAATAGAAAATGTATTGAATACAAGAATTTAAATCAACAAAGGATCAAGTTTTAAAAAAACTTTTAAATAATATAAATAAATCGTATTTATTACAATGGACCACTAAAATGTAATCTTGATGAGACGTAAATAATAATTTTAATAGTTGAGATCATGAGTCAACTGAAGCTAGATTACCATGGAAAACCTGGAAGCACTGGACGGTTGTTTCGTTCTAGTGTGACACTTCACAGCAATGCGCACCCACAACCCCACACATAGGACTTGAAAACATGACCTTCGGTCACACTCACGAACAATCAACCTGTAGACCACTGAGTCGGCATCAAGTAGCATCAATGTCTAACCTCACTCAATCCATGAAATTTCGCTGCCGTCCATCATTATCTTCAGTAAATAACTAAGGGATTCGAACCCGGTATCTTCGGTCCTGTGCATCCAATTTTTCAATGATGACCTAACATTGATCTATTCATGATCTTAATCCAAGCTCAATAATCTTCACAACCCTATACCGACGATATTATTTTTACTAGTAGTATATTTGTAATATCTCAATTAATAGAAAAGTTAGATTTTCTGACGTTTCGTAACTTAGTGTAAGCCACTTCTTCAGAGAATAAAATAACTAAATTAAAATTAATCCATATTTGAATAGTAAAATTCTCAATTCAAAACTTGGTAATAATACCTTTTAGTTCAAATGTATTCAAATGTGATATCGCTTTCGGTCGATCTTGTTTCCGAAACATAAAAAACATAATAATAACATGAACTTGCATTTTCGAACTCCGCCTGCAGCTCCTTCGGGAGCTACTGCTGATCTCAGGCCCGAATAAAGGAGGAGGGTTGAGTTAGGGGTTAGCCACCCTATCCCGTAAAAAACCAACTTGTTAAAAACACGCTACCCAGAAAAATTATTCAAACAAGCGTCAGTTTTTATTTTTGGTTCGTTTTATAGGTCAAACATCATTTTTTCGAAATACTTTGAATTCATTGCATTTCTATTAAGAATAATTAATCTCAAGGAGACTAGTTGCAGATTGATTAGCTGCTGCCCTGCAAACTTGAATGGTATTGTTTACTTTTTTTTTCTTATTAAATCTCCTTAAACGAGTTACCGTTTATGTTTATCACCTTTGAAGAGGTTAATTGCTTACTGATCAATTATTCTACTATTGTGTTTAACTATTGGTTGACTAACAAGTTTGTTGGATATATATCTTAATTGTCATGAGCAAACTTCCGTGATCTTTATGCAATAAATCTCTACAATATTTGTCATTTTATGCGGCGTCCAAGACGTTGGAAAGGAAAATGAGTACTTGTATCCATATATCGAAGGGAATTTATGGGTTAGTTCTGTTAGTTAAATGTAAATCAGTTGTATGTAATCGTTAATTACAGCTACATTTATCAGTAATGGGTTTCAGAAATTTTCGTATTTCATTGAAAGTATAGATCGATCAATGGTAGGTCATCTAGTACTTCCAGGTTCTCAGCGGTTATTTAACATTGGTGGGTTTATCATTTCAATGAAGTTACATTTATACTGATAATATCAGTCAGTTTTAGTGATTATAAAAGCACTATTGAAGGCTTTCTAGTAATCTGATCCTTAAAAATGTGGTTATTATCAGATAGGTACTCTCATTTCTTGATTGATAGATCAGTTATACTGGTAGGTCATGGGTTTAAATCTCGCGAGGCGAAATCATGGATGTGCACTGCCACTGAGGAGTTCCACAATAGGTTGAAACGGCCGTACAGTGCTTTCAGGTTTTCCTTGATGGTTTAGCTTCAATTGACTCATGCTTTCAACTATGAAAATATACTTCAATAGTTTACTGAAATTATATTGACTGGAATGTATGAATGCTAATAATACTAACAATACTTATTAAACTACCCTATCTTTACAAGCTTATTGTTATTCATTCCTTACATAAGACGTGACTTATGTCAAAATTTGCCACATTTAAACCATTTACTTTATTATATTAAGCATACATATGATAATGAAAAATATGACAGTTTTGTTTAGTGTTTCATAATCTTTGTTTTTGTTTACTCCCTTTTAGTTGTCAAGGCTACCAAATATTCTATAAGTGAACTGAAATCTTCCTTTACTATACTTTTTATTCTTAAACGCAATGTCTGAAATTTCTTACGGAGAAAAAAAGACCAGATTTTTAGCTATGATGTCGTATGCACCATATCTCATTTTAAAACATTCATGATGTTGTAGATAGGCCACATTCTTGGTGTTACTACGTCATTTGAAAACTTCTTATGAAAAACAACTCGGTACTTACAATATATATCAATTTCGTAATCTACAATGCTATCGCTTATTGTTACAAGTTTTAACTGAGTTAACTCTCTCTATTACTATTAAACTCTTCGTTTCAAATGACCAATTATAACAATTTATGAGATATGTATTTCGTTACAATGTATGCAGCTTGGATTCTGTAACCCAGGACCTATCGGTCTTGCGCGCGAGCGCTTAACCACTAGACTACTTAGCTGACCAGCATCCAATGGTTTCAATGTCTAATTTCAATCATTCCACGAAATTCAGCAACCGTCCACCATTGTCTTTAGTGAATTACTATCCCACAACAGACCTGGTTGAACTCCAATGGTCACTGCTTCTCATTAGAACTCCAGGAAATATCTCTTGAAGCCAATCACTAGTGAGGATATGTTGATTAATATCAGAAGGGGTTTTTGTGGAGATTTTAGTAATTTTATAGTTGAATTCATGAGTCAATTGAAGCTAGACCACCATGAATAAATATGAAACAATGATAAGAATATGAAGAATGAAGGATGTTAAATACTTACAAATAAGAATTAGTTTCATTAGTATTCCAAATAGTTGATTCATTGCTTTTTATAAAATAAATTACATCCATTTAGATCTGAGCTTAGCTGTAATAAAATATATCAGTTGCATTACATAACAATACTGATTTTAAATAAAACATTTGAGAAAGTCAATACATGTTGCTAATGTTTATGCTCATTTGTTGTTGTTGTTGTTGATGTTGTTGTTGTTGTGGGATTTCAATTTGAATACAAAAGTATAAACGTTGTCTTGAATAAATAGAATCGACCAATCACAAATCAGAATTTAATTTACATTTTATCTCATCTGTGATTGGTTAATTGGATGCTAAATTTTGATTGGTTCTCATAGTGTTTATGCACAAAACCTGAAAAAAAGAAAAAAAATAGTACCGTTTTATAATTGATACTTTCATAATCTTTTAGATATTTTATTTAATTAGTTTAACTTTCCTAATCCTTAAACATTTTGAGAAAAAATAGAGGAAACTGACATATGAAGTACAAAAAACTAATGAAAAATTGATAGAAAAATCATTATTTTCACGTTAAATTGGTGTTTTTTCGATTTCTATTTATTTAAGCACATAAATATTGGTACAAGGGGGGAACCAGATACATATGTGCCATGCCAAAAATGTCATTTTATTCAATTGCGTGAGGGCTATGATACAGATTGGGTGCCCAGAGCGAAGCAGGTGTTTTTCTTAAGGGGCCACATCTGAAGCCTTCGATCTAAAGATCTGATCCACAAGGCAGTGGGGTATCGTGAGGAGATGCAGTCCCATGGTAGCCGGTGACCAACGATTGATTCATACGCCATTTGTTGCCTCAGGATACTGGAGCCAATGTGCACCATTGATTTGGAATCAGAATTTTCCAACTCCCCTATGTGGAATTTCCGTGTCCACCAACCCGGTTAGATCGCCGGACATTCGCTTTTCTTACTCTGAATTTCGTAAACAACACTCCTGGTGTGAGAACTCAGTGAGTAGCACTTCCCTGGTTGAGGCTATTTACGCGTAGTCATGTGAGAGCATTTGGAGAGGGAGATCGGACTCTCCCCACTCTCGGCCGTACCAGGGCATTCGTGGTCCAAGTTAAAAAAAAAGTAAAGGTCAACTTATTTACAGTTATTTATGCTTATTTTTCATTATAACATACACGATCACTCCATTATTTTCCGTGGTTATAATGTTGTACAGTATGTAATAAAGAAAGATCCTTTCCATGAATTATTTACTTAGTAAAAACGTTTGTTGTCCATGTTAGTTTACACTATGAATATGATGAATGAAAGATTGAGTAACAATTCAACCATCGTAGAATTAATTAAATGCTAAAAGATTTATTGATTTGTTCATAACATCACAAAAGCAAACATATAAATCGATCGATCATTAGTCAGTAATCAGTGATACTTCTGTCAAATTCTACCTGATGATGTTCTTAATCAAGTTTCAGTTTGATGTGTGTCCAAGTTAACTGGATTTTTAAATTTGGAAGTAATGATTAAGTTTTAAGTAATTAACTGCCATATATTCACCAACTGCATGGTAAAACCATGAATTCAGAGTGAAATTGACATTAAAATTAGAATGTTTGGATATGAAATAATGAATCAATTGATGTTGACCTTCATGGACGAGCAAATAAATTGACGTGTAATATAGTTTCATCCAACAACAGATTGATGGAATAATATAGGAGTCTTCAGAACAAGACCTTGTTTTAGTCCAAGATTTAATGGACTGGAAGTTGTATTTCTCTTTAAAACATTAATTTAATTAGTTGTACTCAGGAACATGGTTGTTTTGAAACCTATGTATTATGGGCTGTAAAATATGAGTGACAAAGTTTAACGCTGGTGTGTACTACTGATGTCAACAGATATAAGTAGTATGTATCATCAATTGAAAGTGAAGTATCTGACGCAGAAGGTTAAGAATATCGAAGAAAAGGGAACAAGAACCGAGGTTGATTGATATGGAAATAAAGTAATAATGAAGTTTGAGACAATTATTTGATATTTTGCAAATGAATTATTTACTAAGAGATTTACTAATAGATTCTGTAAGTTACTGTTCAAATACGTCAAGTTATCCCCCACCCACTTTTGTTGTCATTCAACACATAATATCAGTCAGCTGATTTTATCATTATCTCTTTTGAGGTTTCATGATGAAAACATACTTCAAATCTATTTGTTATTTCTGACTAAACTATCACTTTATCCACATTATCAAATACTCACCAACGCCTATTACCATTTGTATAAAATAGACTGCCGATCAGAAATCTCCAACGTACTCTGTCACGGTCTCTTCTATTCCGTTTTTCTAAAGTATCATTTATTCCTTCCATGTGTATCTACAGCTTGCTTCTTTTCAAACATACTGGGTCTATATACCAAACAGACTGACCACATCGTACCAATAAAATAGAAAAATAAACAAGATTTAGCGAAATATGGCTGTGAATAGGGGGAACAGTAATCAATAGACTGGGGATAACTAAATAATGATAAATTGTATTATGATAGTCTATGGGTCAAAATAAACCTCATAATAAAAGGAACATGAATATGAATATTTAAGTTACTTAGCAGTTATACAATGCGAAATATACATATCACATTTGTACATAAATAGTTCTCAAAGTTACCATTCATATATCTCCACGGAATACAACAATGATGCTATTTGATGAGTTCCACAACGTGTATCCTATCTATGCATAGTGTCTTTTCCTTTTTCAATTCTTCATTTTAAATTTGACATTACTGTATAGAGTATACGATTGTTATCAGTAGTTTATTGTTTGATTGAGTTAAGATAATTACGTCGACAATAAAATATTATCATCAGAAGGGATTTTTTGGATATTATTTCAATCTCGCGGGGTGGGATCGTGGATGCGCACTGACACTGAGGAGTCCATCAATGAGACGAAACGGCCTTCCAGTGCTTTCAGGTTTTCAATGGTAGTTTAGCTTCAATTGACTAATGAACCCAACTTTTAAAATTACCAAATATTATCATTGATTCTTGATAAACATTTAATAGAAGTTCACTATCAACTTAAACTTTTTAAATGTATAAATTTAAAGTCATTTTCAACATGAAATTGTTAAAATATTTAAGCAAAGTTTTGCCGTTTCTAGGCAACGGGTTTTAAATTACCGAACTTAAGTTGTCATTTTGCACAATATTATTATCCAATAATTTAAAATTTATTTAAGAATATAATACTTACTTATTTTTGCCTGTCACTTTCAATGAAAAATAGGCCGCCGACCAGCATTCTATAATCCACTCTGTCCTAAGCCTTCCTTACTAATTCTATCCATTTTTTGTTCATTCTTTTCATGTCTATCTCTATTTCTCGGCGTAATGTGTTCTTCGGTCTTTCTTCTTTGTTTTGGCCTTCAAGATTTCATATGAAGACTTGCCATGTGACGCAGTCGGGTGCTATCCTCAGTGTGTGCCCTATCCACTTCCAGCACTTCTTCCCTGATTTCTTCCTCCACTGGGATCTGGTTTGTCCTCTCTCACAGTAGGTATTTGTAACAGTGTTCAAAATCTTTTACTCAAGTATAAGTGTATATAGTAAGTGAGAATAAATCTTTGGTAATTTATGATCACATATTTCATTTTACTTATTAAAAAACTATCTTTTGTTCCTAAGTCTACTATTTTTTGTACGTGAATTTATAATAGAATCTAGGTCAGTTTGAATATCAAGTTGGATCATTGAGAAACTTGAGAGCACTGTTTGATTGAATAGTGATACTCTATGAAATTATGTAATATCTTACAAAGAAGGATTGTCTTCTACTTTAATAAAAATATGATAAAATAATCTTCATACAAGTGTCATATGAAGGTTAGCAGACGAAGTGATATTTACAGTTTGCTGTGAAAATACTAAATTCTCCACAAAACCTCCTCTGATTTAACTATTTCTCCCGAAACCACATTAGATAATTAATATCCAAGTCCTATGTTTCAAATCTTTATAGAACCTAATGGCAATGGATACTTTTTCTTTGAATATTTTAAAGCAAGTGTAAATTTCATATATTTTTTGAACAGCAATTTGCTTAGATATCATTAGTAATAAGTGTAAATTGCGGTTTGAAACCTGATCAGTACTGGATTAGAGACTTAATAAGATCATACGCACTAGGATACAAATGATTTCAGATAGCCAGTCCTGAATTGAAAAAAACGCGCTTCCTGGATTCCCCTACTAATTGTATGAAGTGTATTCTTACTTATTTATTCAGATGTTCATCTTCATGAATAAAAAATTCAACTCGTTGGGTGGAACATTTTCAAATTCACTTAGTATTACTTGTTTGAAACTTCTCATTGATGTTTAGGACTGCAAGTGATCAGTTTCTTATTGGTCTTTTGTGTATATCAGGTGAGTTTAAACTTCACTCTATTGCACAAGCAAGTGAATATGAGGACACAGTAGCAAAGTGGATAACATGATGATGCTTGAATCGAACAGCACTGCGTTCGAGTCCTATAGTGAACATCAATTCTAAGATGTAGGTATGAGTCCCAAATGGGATGAAACGCATGTCAAACTGGATTCCACTGCTATCCACTATACATCTTTGCTTATAACGCTTGTGAATTAAGGCTATATCAAGGCAACACACATAGTATGCACATATGTCAATAAGAGACTGATCAGTCGCGGGCCTAAACATCAATGGGAACATTTAAACAAAAAATACCAAATGAAATCGATTTTATGTTTCTGGGTGCTACACACACACAGGCACGCACACAAAATAAATAAAGTTTTGTATAGAAATATATATATATATATAACACTAATGAAATAAATTCATTTTAATATCTCCTAATAATACATCTAATTCCAGATTGAACATCAACGAGTTTGAAATTCAGGTACATCCAGCTGACGAGTCCCACATGGGACGAAACACGCTTCAAACTGGATTCCACTGCTAGTTACTATCCATCTTTGCTTATAATTCCAAATTCGCCTCCAACTATTGTTTCAATACGGCAATTGTAAAACATTTATATTATTCCATAATATAAATGATAGTCAGGAATTCATTTCTCTCTTTTAATTAGATTCAATTAAAACAATAATAGTCAACTGATAGCTTGTTCACAGTTCAATTTTAAGTTTACTAATCATGTTTCATCATCACAAAACAAAAGAGAAAACAGAAAAAACCCATTCATTGGAAATAAAATGTTTTTCAAAATG